GTGCAAGGAAGAAAAGCCAGTTTGGGGTACGAAGCATTGAGTCTGAGGGGTATATGGGGAGTACACAGACATCTGGTGAGAATGTAGATAAGTGAGCCAGAGATGTGGCGTGCAGCGCGCATGACAGCACGTAGGCAACGAGTGTGGCCAACCAGCAGAAGAGAAACCCCGGAAAGTAAGGCAGCGACCCAGGAGCCAGCAGGATGTGGAGTCCTCGAAGTCCAGGGCTGTGCCACATGGTCAAGGTGTCGGTGCCACTGGGCTCCAAAAAGATCAAGTCTGTGGCTTCAGTGGCATCATGGGCGGCCCTGGGGAAGGGGCAGGGATGCGAGCCAGGCTGGCGTGGGTGGAGCGGTGAATGGAGCCGGAAATGGATGTGGTGACTCAGGCGCAGAGCGCAGGAGCGCGTGGGCTTGGGGGAGGGTTTATTTTAAGATGAGAACAGGCAGGGGAGAAGAGGAAGCTGAAGGGATAAATGGAAGTCACCATCAGAGTCGTTGGCACCTTCACTGCCACCAACCAGCAGCCACAGCAAAGGTTGTTCTCTTCCGGGATGGCTCTCACCTTTCCCCTGGGAGTCTCCCCTTCGGTCATTCTGCTGCCCCGACTCGTATTCAGGGGGCTCCACGGTGCCGAGAAGTCCCTCCGCGCTCATGCTCCGGGTCCCTCTGGCCAATGCCCCCAACATGCGGCCCAGACCCTTTAACGTCACTCGCACCCTTCAGCCCCCCCACTCTTCGAGGCTGTGTACATAGCCGGGTGTGGTGCACGCACCTGTAACCCTACCACCCTGGGAGACCCGGGCAGGACCATCCCAAATTTAATCCCAGCCCTGGGCAGCTTAGTGACTTAGAAAGATGTCTCAAAATAAAATTTTAAAAAGAGCGGGGGATGTAGCCTAAGGGAAGGCCTTTGGTTCAACCCCTAGTACCCCAGAAAAGAATAAAAACGGCAGCATGGACACTCTTGCTCAGCTTCTGGGAGTGTGAAATGGGTCAACCTTTTGTGGTTTGACAAAATGTACGAAATGTGCACACCTCCCACCCCCGCGTATCCTCGCGCGTTAAGGCCTCAAGTGTTGAAGTGCACAAGGCTGGGGTGGGCAGAAAGAGCGGCACAGAGGGGAGCTCAGGGCCAGGTGCGGGCTCAGCGCCCGCGCAGGCAGCTGGCCTCAGGGCCCCTCCTTGCGCTCTAGAGCTACCTTTGCTCAAGGGGCCCAGGTGCTATAAGGCATAGGAGACCGAAGGGCCACACTTCCTCTTGGTGAGCGCTGAGCACCGCACAGCATGCAGTCCCAGCTCTGCACATACACCACTGCAAGGGTCCTTCACATCCGCAGCACGGGCATTGGGGCTCTGAGGCTCGTCTTCCTAGTTGCCGCCTGTGCCTACATCTGGTGAGTCTAGCCAGTCTGAGGGCCCAGACTGACACAGCTCAGCCCCTTCTCCACCTTGCTCCAGACCCCCACTCCAAGCTCCCCTCCTTGGCCAGCTGTCCTCTCCCATCACCTACACCTGTCCCACAGGGCCCAGTGAGGGCCCTAAGTCCATACTGTTTGCTCCAGGTATCAGTGGCCTTACCTGCTATAAGATGCATAGAACTGTAGCTTCTTAGAGCTGAAATGTCAGAGCTCAGGAAGACAGGGAATGAGCCCTTCATTCAGGACTAAACTTTTGGCCTGCAGAAATGACATGTCTTGCTTGAGTCACTGGCGGGGTCAGACAGTAAGACTGGGACTTTGGAACCTTGTTCCAAAGGGCAGGATACACAAGCTTTCTCTTTCACTCATCTGTCCCTTGATCCAGCTCTGGAGTTTTGCTTTGTGTTGTTTTTATAATTTTGAAGCAGGGTCTTGCTATGCAGTTCAGGCTGGCCTTGAGCTCACTTTGTAGCCCAGGACAGTCTCAAACTCAAAAAGATTCTCCTGCATCAGCCTTCCCAATGCTGGGATTAAAGGCCTATACCACCATGTCTGGCTAGCTCTGAAGAAATTTGATTGTGAAATTGGACATGTTTTTTATGATTAGCCTTTTTGATGTTGAGAGGGCCAGATTCGGTTAAGGCTGATCACTTAACATGCTGCACATTCTGGGATGAGTGGGATCGTCCAGAGCTGAGCTTGCCAAACAGAAGAGGTAGGAAAATGTAGCAGTAGCGACCCCGCGGAGACATTGGGGCGGGGTGGGTTGTATTACTGAACGGTGCTATAGTGTCAGGTCTCTGAACTAGACCCCACCCAGCTAGGAGAGAAAAACGCCCTATGCAAATCTGTTATTCACACCTGGAGGTGCACAGGCTTAACCGGAAGCTACCAGCTTTCCCACACAGCTCGACCCGCAGGGAGCTGACTCCACAAAATCAACAAGAGACACACTGTCCCGTACCCCACATGGCCCTGTCTGTTAGCCAGCCGCAGACTCCCAACTCAGAGACCCAAAATTGTTCACCCACTCAGCAATGCCCCCTGTATGTAAACTCCCCTATAAAACATATTCTCACCCCTTGCTTGGCGCCAGTGGTCTTTTCACCCTTGGTCTGGCCCCTCCTGGTCTGCAGTAAATCCTCACATGTTACTTAAACTCTGCCTGCCTCAGTGGCCTCAATTTCGACTGTACCTTGATTTACCCTAACACATAGAGATGTACAGAATCCCACGCAGTAGCTGTGCATCACACATACCGATTGGGCCCCTAATCTGGGTCTCTAGCCCCAGCATTCTTTTGACAAGCTTTTAAAATGAATTTCAAGAATACAAAAATGCATTGTGAATTATATAATGCTCCTATAGCAGCATGTAATTTGAGGACAATAAACCAGGCTTGATGGTGCACACCCATAATCCCAGCACTCGGGAGGCTGAGGCAGGAGGATCACAGCGAGTTCAAGACTAGCCTGGGCTACAAAGTGAGCTCAAGGCCAGCCCGAGCTACATAGTGAGACCCTGTCTCAAAAAGATAAATAAAAACAAATAAATAAATAAACTGCAACATGACTGCTGAGCATAGTGGTGCAGCCCTGTAATCCCAGCACTCTGGGAGGCTGAGGCAGGAAAGCTACAAGTTTTGAGTCCAGCCTGGGGAGCTAGTGGCTTAGCAAGACCCTGTCTTAAAATAAAAATAATAAAAAGGGCTCAGGCTGTAGCTCAATGCAAAAGCCCTGGGATAAATCTCTAGTACTGTCAAGAGGAGGAGGAGGAAGAAAAGAAATAACAAACATTACTAATCCAGTTTCGTTCCCTGTACAGCCACCCTTCAGATATTTTTTACAGATACATACCTATGTCTGAGAACCTTTCTTTATGGAGGTGAAATTCATATAACGTAAAGCCATTTTAAAGTGACTAACTGGTGACATTTAGTACATTCACAGTATTTACAACAACTACCCCATCTGTTTCTAAGAATATTTCCATTGCCTTAAGAAGAAATCCCCCACTCGTTCCTCGGTCCTCCCTATTTCTCTCTGTCTCTGTGGGTCTGGGTATGTGGCTCAGTGATAGAGCGCTTGCCCAGCGTGCACAAGGGCCTGAGTTCAATCCCCAGTACCACCAAAAAAATAAAATAGTTTCTCTGTCTCTGCATTTCTCTATTCTCATACTTTGATTCAGAGTAGGGCCTTCTGCATCTTCCTTCTTTCACTTAGCAGATGCTATATATATATATATATTTTTTTTTTTTAAATGTATTTTAATTTGTGTTTATATATTTGGTACAGGGTCTTACTATGCAGCTCAGACTTGTGGTGAGATGAGTTTGCTTTCAGCCTCCCAGGTGCTGGGATTACAGTCATCTTTTGGTGAACACTGGCTTGTTTCCCTGTTTTGCCTATTATGAATAGCACTCCTGTGGGCTTTTTTGTCTGTCTGTTTTTCTTTTTTTGTACTGGGGATTGAACTCAGGACCTGGCGCTCGCCAGGCAGGTGCATAAGCCGCTGAGCCATCTCCCTGGCTTGTGGGCTTTCTGTACAAGTATTTGTTTGGGTATATAGTGCTGCTTTGGCTTTGTTTAAACCTTCTATCGTAGTTCAGCTGGTGCTGTTTGCGCCCCACTGTACGAATCCAACAGTTTATCTGGCGTTCACGGTATTTCCAGTTCCCTGTCCTAGAAGTGATGCTGCGTACACGTCGCTGTGTATGCCTTGTGGGCACACGGAGGACAGATTCCGGAGGGCCCCTCTGAGCGCTCTGCTCTGGCCCTGGGGATGCTCCTCTTCCAGTGGACTTGCTGTTCCCGGATAGGTGTGGAACCCCTAAGTGGCTCGCACCGCTGCCTCACACTGGAGTCACTGGAAGGATATACACTGGCATCCGGGTAGCCGCCCAGACCTGTCCTAGGCGGACAGTCTCCAGAATGGGACTGCAGACCTGCCATTCTTTATTCATTTGTGTGTTGAGTCAGGGTCTCACTATGTAGTTCAGGCTGGCCGCGAGCCCATGGCAGAGCTCAGATGGACCTTAAACTCACAGCGATCTCCTGCCTCAGGCTCCTGAGTGCTTGGATTACAGGGGTACGCCACCCTACCATGCTGCCATCTTTTTTTTTTCAATCTTATATATTTATTTATTTATTTGTTTATTTGGTATAGCGTCTCACTACGTAGCTTGAATGGAACCCGGGTCTTTGCGCTTACCAAGCAGGCACTTAGATCACTGAGCTATCATCCCCACCCTGCCATCTTTAATTATTAACTCCACTGTCTTCCTCCCGTGTAATAATTTTTATGCACGTTCTTAAAAGAGTATAAAGAGCGGGTGAGCTGACCACAGGGCAGGAGCCTAGAGTCAGAGCTGCGTCACGGACCTTGGTTCTCCTACCATCTGCCTATGTGACCCTGGGCAAATTCCTCCCAGCCCATTTGCTCATCTCCAAGAGTCGTGGTCCCTGTCACTGTCTCACTGTCACCATGGGGAGTAAAGGACAGGATGCTTAGAGAGCCCTTGGCACACACTGTGTGCTCAGTCAGGAGGACCTGCCAGCATCCATACTATTCGTATTTGCAGGTGAGTATTACTGAGAAACAGCTGGCTGACGTGATAGACATGGAGAGATGACAAGGTGCCCGAATATTCCTGAGCTTTGGGTCAGCTGCTGGGCTGACCCAGAGTGGAGATCTTTTTATTTGAGAAACTCTTCTAAAATCCAGATTTAGCCAGACATGGTAGTGTGCCCTTATACTCCCAGCACTTGGGAAGCTGAGGCAGGAGGGTAGCCTCAAGTTTAAAGCTCACCTGGGCTACATAAGGATCCTGTCCCAAAAAACCCCACTAGGATGTACATTATGTAATATTAAAGCTGGGATGGGGCGATGATTTTTCCTGTGCCAAATGCCCATCCCACAGCAGCTAGCAGGCTAAGGAATTTGCATACACATCTCAATCCTTGTGGAACTCCAAGGTGGGTGTGGCTTCTCTTCCCTTTGGTCCTGTTTGGTGGAGAAGGGAAGTGAGCCACAGAGAGCCACAGCTAGGATCTGGAAGAGGCCAAGGGGACCTCCTTCAAAAAAACCAAGCCATTGAAGTTTTGCTGTGTCTGCCACTTAGCTTCGCGCTGGTGAGCGACAAGATGTACCAGCGGAAAGAGCCAGTCATCAGCTCGGTGCACACCAAGGTGAAGGGTGTGGCAGAGGTGATGGAGGAGGTGGTGGATGGGATGAAGAAGTCAGTGCGGAAGGTCTTTGACACCGCGGATTACACCTTACCTTTGCAGGTGAGTGCCCAGCACCCTCTCCCAGCCCCAAGCCCTGGTGACAGTGACCAGGGCCCTGCCCTCTTCCCTCTGGTCTCAGAGGCTCACTCAGGAAAACACTGGCCCAATTTAAGCAGCACTGTGAAAATCCCAACTGAGAAGACCTAAAAACTGCGAAAGTGGGCCAGCCCCAGCTGTTCAGGTCCTTCCTGAAATAGCCGCGAAGCCTGGTGCGTTTCAGCATGGTTTGGTCTGCGCCCACTCCTTGTGGACACAGCTGGCTAGAAGTAGGGCCGCCGAGATCTGCGTGGGTGCAGGAGGGCGATGGGTACCCCCCTGGACAGTGCCAACCTCTGCATGACCTGTCATCACCCCGAGGTCCGCAGGACACCCTTCCTGTTACACTGATCCATGAAGGAAGGATGTAGGTGACAGGGAAGGTGTGGTGTTGGAGAACAGGAGGATGACTGCTCAGCTGGAGAGCAGAAACAAGAGCTGAGAATGCGTGAGGACCAGGACAGGCGGCAGGGACAAAGGGCTTGTGGCCTCCCGGGAGCAGAAGCCCGCACAAACCCATACCGCCCTGGATGCTGCTGTCTGTTGGTTTCGAATGGCAAACAGCGGGTCATGAAATCTGGCCCATGCAGGTGGCAGGAGGCCCTTGCCACCTTCCATCAAGTCCTGAAAAATCTGGACAGCACCACACCCTGCCCTTACCTCCCCAAACTGAATGCAATTTTACTGTGTCAGAAAAGCGAGCCGGCTGCTTCTGAGGCTGGGGGGTAGAACCGTCATTCGTTTTCTTCCCGTTGGCCCAGCAGGATGGCATGGGCAGCTTTGATCTTAAGCCCTCAGCAGATTGCATGCTGCCCGAGGACCCAGATTTCTAAGCACTTGAAGGACAGAGTAGCTGGGTTCGCCCGGCGTCTTTAGCACTAAGCAGTTCTGTCCTCCAGGGCCTCCTGAGCTGCTCCTCCTCTTCCTCTGCAGGGAAACTCCTTCTTCGTGATGACAAACTACCTCATAACCGAAGGCCAGGAGCAGGGGCTGTGCCCCCAGGTAAGGAGCAAACACTGGCGATGAGGACTCCGAGGAGCCCCAGGTCAGAGGTGACCGAAAGATAGAAAGGGCCGGGCAGGAGGACAGCGTGGAGATGTCACAGGTCTCTGTCCCCCTTGACCTCCAGCTGTGGTACTCAAGGCCTGTGGACCCTGCCGACCTGCCCTTCCCATGACCGGCTCCCTGGGAAGCTCAAGGCGATACATGACTAATTCCACACTTCACTGGCCCCCACACCAACTGCAGGCAGAAAGCAGCATCCCCGGCCCCATTTTCCAGGGTCAGAGAGGTTAAGTGATTTCCCTAGGGTTGCACAGCTTGCGGGAGGATTAGAAGCTGGGTGTCCTCATTCACAGCTTCTGGGGAGGTGGGGACTGTGAACTCCCGCCTCTCATGTTGACCTCCTCCTTGTGAGGTGTGGCAGGCCCTAGGGCCGTGGCTGCCCCCACGGTTTTCCCCCCTCCCAACTTGACTTGGCCGCCTCCGTGTGCTTGATTTCCCCCTGCCTCTTCCCACAACACTTTCATCTTGATGAAGGATCCTGGCTGTTCTTAAGCTTCCCTCTGTCCATGTGTGACCACCAGTGTTAGCTGGTCCCTCTCTTGGGTGACACCATTGCTGTGTCCCCACGCCGCATGCCACCCCATGTGCACACAGAGACACTTTCCAAGTAACTGAGGCTGAAGGAGCAGAGCAGGGACAGCCAGATGTGCAAAGACTCAACACCTCACTTACTTGCTTGGTGACCTGGAGTAGATGGCTCTGTCTGCAAAAGGAGACACTGACAGCCTCACTCTGAGAATTAGAGAGACATGAGCAGGTGCCTGTGTGACGTTCCAGTCGCACGGTACAGACAGCCAGGCCTTCCTGGGACACCGAGATGGACCTGGTGGGCTCTGAATAGCAGTGGGCGGAGCTCAGATGGGTGTCTCTGCTGCCCGTCTCACTTGGGGTCTATGTGGCTCCTCTGTCACATGGCCCACTGGCACATGGGGACAGCCAGGTTCTCTTTTCTCCTGAAACCTTTAAGAGTCTTCCTTCTGAGGAATCTGTACCCATTCTTGGTCAAAGGCTTACCCTGGAGCTGGCACTGGGTCCCTTCGGCTGCCTCCTGTCCGCCCTGCATCACTGGGTGGTCCAGTATCAGAGGGGGGAATGCTCCACCTCTTAACTGAGAGGGTGACCAAAAACTCATGGCCATCCTTAGTCCATGTAAAAATCACAAGAGAGAAGAATGAAACAGAACTAATTTTTTCTTCTAATTTTAGAATGTCTTTTGGAGTGCAAAATAGAATTAGCTTATCTTTTCCCTACAAGTTCCTTCCAGCTGATAGTGAAAACTGTCCATGAACCCCAGTAAATGATCATTCCTTCATTCATTGTTCATTCCTTCCATGTTTGTCAAGAATGTTACTTGTATGTAGCTAGGCGTGGTGGCATGCACCTGCAGTCCCAGTGCTTGGAGACTGAGGCAGGAGGATCCTTCTGAGTTCAGACCAGCCTGGGCTGCAAAGTGAGTTCAAGGCGAGCCTGAATTACATAGCAAGAGCCTACCTCATTGGGTTTTTGTTTTGTTTTGTTTTGTTTTTGTTTTTCCAGAACCAGGGATTGAACTCAGGCCCTTGCGCTTGCCAGTCAAGTGCTTATTCTACTGAGCTATCTCCCTGGCCCTTACAAGAGCCTATCTCAAACAAAACAAGAATACTAATTGTATGTGTCAGGTGGAGAGTCAGGCTACAAAGATAAGACCCGGGCTTTCTGGTCCAAGTGTTCACTCTTATTTGAGAGGTTACAAGGAGAAGAACCCCAAGGCCTGGGTTTTGACAGACACGCCAGCAAGGGCCTCAGTTTCCTGAGAGTGGTTCCCTTTCCGAGCTAAGTGGCAGTTCTCTAAGCCTTGGCATCCTTAGCCCAGGGGATTGACAGAAAGAAGGCAATCTGGGAAGAGAAAGAGTATGAGTTTGAAGATGAGGTTGGCTGGGGAGGTGGCTCAGCAGCATAAGTGCCTGCCTGGTAAATTCAAGGTTCTGAGTTCAATCCCAGGTACCAGAAAAGAAAATAAGGAGCAACATCATTTGTCTTGCTGTTCCAGATAAGGATGCTGAGGCTTAGAGAGTTGCCACTTAGCTAGGAAAGGGAACTGCTGTCAGGAAACCCCAAGTCCTTGCCAGCATGTCTGTCAATGCCTGGGGGACGGGGCTGCTTTAACCCCCCGGGTCTGCATGCTTACTCCCAAAGGGGGCCATGGAACCTGCCCCCAAAACAACAGCTGGTCACATCTTCATGGATCGAGCCCTCTCGATCCTCCTTGCTCCATCCTGTAGCCCTGAGAAGACAATGGCCTCCTCTCCTCAGGCTGGAAGAAAGCGCTTGCTGGAGTCCCTTCCTTTTCCTCACTCCTCTGCTGCAGCCTGGCCATCCGCATGCTCCATCCTGCAGCTATAGGGCGAGTTGGGTGTGGTGGTGCACGCCTATAATCCCAGCCCTGAGGCAGGAGGATTGTTAGGAGTTTGAAACCAACCTGGGCTACAAATGAAACTCAGGGTCAGCCTGAGCTTCGCAGTAAGACCATGTCTCAAAAAGACAGAAAAAAAAACATTAGGACCACGTGCATCAGCTGCCTGCTCCGCACTGCCCAGGTGGAGGCCCCTGGGTGTTTGCATTTTTATTCTTAACGAGATATAATTCACACGCCATAAAGCCCTCGCTCTAAAGTACACAGCGCAGAGATGTTTACTGTCTGCATAGTGCAGCCGTCACGGCTCTCCAAGTTCACAACATTCCCCTGGTGGCTGGCAAGCACCTCATCCATCCCTACGCCCTCACCCAATCCCTGTCAAACACCCGTCTGCACTCTGTCCCATGGCTTTGGCTGTTTGGGGACATTTCCTAGGAAGAGAATCACTCAGGAAGTGGCTTTTTGCAACTGGCTTCTTTCACCCAGAGTGGGCGTTTCCCACATTCAGCCACAATGGGCAGGTGACATCTGGTCTGCGTCCACGTTTTGGTGGTTGTGAGCCATGACAGCGTGCGTAGTGGGTACGCTGGTCTCACTGTGTGACCTGGAGTCAGTGTTGTCATCCCCCTTGCTGACACCCTCGCTCACTCCCGCCGCCCTGTCCTTCTCCACAGTTCCCAACGCCCAGGACTCTCTGCTCCTCAGACCGTGGCTGTAGGAAGGGCTGGATGGACCCGCAGAGCAAAGGTACGGCTGTCCTGTCCCTGAGCCCCAGGTGGCTGGTCTGGCTTCTCGGTGGCACAGCACAGGTTCCTTCCTGTCCTTCCCCTCTGGCTCTCAGCCACCTTCCTCCTCCACACCCAAACTCAGTGGAGCCTGCTTCTGTCCTGTGTTCTGGCTCTGTCCCTGCAGACCAGCTGTGACCTTGAATGTGACCCTGATGTCCTGGGGAGAGAAGTTCCAACCCACTCACGGTCAGGTCAAAATGGTAAAAAAGTCACATGATCCATTGCATTCTCGGGCTGCTCTAGAGTTCCCCCGAGTGTCCATAAAAGTGGAGGAGCGCGACCTTGAGCCCCGAGCAGGCCTGGGGGCAGAGCCCATATTAACCCGCACAACGCCCTCCTCTCATGCTCTAACTCAGGAAGACAGTGGACAGCGCCGGGGTGTAGCTCTCCGTAGAGCTCTCGCCCGGCCTGTGCGCTCCGGTTCTGAGGCCAGCGTGGGGAGGGGCACAGAAGAGGAAAGACACACGAAAGAATATTGCCGGGCGTGGTGGCCCACATCTGTAATCCCAGCACTTGGGACAAAGCTGAGGCAGGAG